ATTTAAGTTATCGGTTAGAACATCTTCGTATTGTTATTTGATAGCAAAATAAATATTTTGAATATTTTAGTTTTATTTGTCACTTTATTGTTGAATTTGAGTTAACAAATTTAGTTCTATAAGACTCTTTTAGAAGAAAAAAGAATTGTCTGCTATGACTTAGGGGCCCAAAGTTTGAAGTTCGCCTCAGGCCCAGCGAAACACAGGTACGGCCCTGCGGACAGATGTAGTTGAAGTCGACCGAGCATTGGAGTAAATCACATTTCAAAAAGGGGAATAAATGTGATGTGCTTCTGAATAGTCTGAATGAGTAATTCCACAGCACCTTCTTGAGTGCACGGGAGAAGCCTATTTGACATTGTTAGAGAAAATTTGAATGTTCTTGATGCAAAGAATTGTGGCCAAGAGAGATGCATGCAACAAATGGAGTGGAGAGGTTGGTCCAGTGAAGATCATTCAGAGAAATACCATGCTTATAAGGGCTAAATATGTTGATTAATGGGGAAACACATATTTCAAATATGCCGCAATACAAACCAAATTGACCTGATTGCGAGGACATGTTCATGTCGGTTGAGACAGTTGACAAGTATACCTTGTAGACATGCAATTGTGACGCTACTTTCACGGGGCATCCAATCCATTACATATTATGTCAACGAAGCTTATAAGAAGGAAGCATACATTCGAATGTATACACCAACGATATCCCTAATTACAGGTACAAATACATGGCCAAATCCTGGACTAAATCCATTGACACCTCTAGTATACACGAAGAAGTCCAGAAGACCAAGGAAGAAGCAAACAAATGAGGCAAACGAAGCACCAACACCACGACCTCTACTATTGAAGGTTCATCAAGGAAAGGAATTGTAATGAAATGTTCCCTTTGTGGTGATGTTGGGCATAACAAAAGGAGTAAAGGTCGAGAACCACCTGCAGCACATTGAAAAATGAGTATCGGGGATGAACTGCGTTTGATTTTGATTTTGTCCATTTATGGTGATGATGTTCATGATGTTTTCTTATTTTTTTTTACTGTTCGTTTCTTTTGTTTGCATGGGTTGAACGGATTCATTAGTCAGGTTTAGTTTGTGCAAGCTTCTTAATTCCAGGGATGTATTGTGCGCAAACACAATGAATTACAGGGTTGAAATAAATAAGGTTTACAATATTCAAGGTTTTATTGCACAATGTTTCATTTTAGTGGGTTTTTCACACTAAAATTTGAACACGAATACTGTAATCGTATTGCCCAATACCCATGACCAACTAGAATAGGAGAGGAAAATCGAAAATTAGAGGAAATTGGAACATTTCATTGCACGCCTTTCATTACAGAACTTTTACATGATGTCACAACATTTATTAACATCCGGTCATTTCACAAATCAACAAGGCTACTAAAGCTTTATTTTCCACCAAAAAGGAAAATCCATATCACAAAACACTCACACAAAAACCCAAAAACTCAGGACCTTAATCCAAAAGTACTGTTTTGCATCTGTAATTCTAGGACTTGTTGTTCGTACGTATTCCTTGATTTAGCAGTTCGGGGATGATCTCCACAAATATACAACTTATAGGTGGGTTACACCAAGAGTAAAACCCACAACCTCTACTTTGTTGCAGGAAAAAAAAGAAGAAGAAATTAGTGATACACCGTATTGACAAAAAAATGAAATGAGGATTGGGTTTCCATTACCATGTGTTGTGTGCATATTAAAAACCTTCTTCCCTAGTTAGCTTCGTCCATGAAGCCTTGTGCTGAATTCCTATTCCACACCTACACTGAGGAGGCTCCATTTTAGCTAAAGATAAAGTAGATTATTGATAAAAAAAATTGTTTTTACATGCTTTAAATAGCACTCCTACTCGAGGCCAATAGGACCTTGTTAAAGAGGTGAACAAGGAAAGACGATTTTGTCATATTAAACTTTTGCATTTTGGCCCTCTTTATTTGAAATTAACGACATAATTAACAATAGTGGATTGGACTTCAAAGTTTATACAAGGGGGTTTTTCACCAATTTGAAAATGTGAGGTATTTGGCAAGAGTGGTGCTATGTGTATACACAATTTTTTACACAATTTTTTACACCCCCCCTCACATGGAGGNGGCCCCCTTCCATGTGAGGGGGGTGTAAAACATTGTGTAAAAAATTGTGTACACATAACTTTATATGCAATGGGTCCATGAGTTGGATTTGTTTAATCAATGAAAAAACTATCTAGATCTAGGATGATTCTCCCAACCTCCAAGCTTTCGTTAGGTAAATAATCACTAAACATCTAGATTTCTAAATTAAATATCCAATGCTCACCGAGGAAGTTCATCACTTTTTTTTATTGCAACTACTCACATTCTCACATTTAAAAGATTTTTTTTTATGATTCTTACTTACATGCACCTATTTCGCTCAGACAATGATAACATCAACGCTAAACCTCTTATCTTTATTGTTTCTTGAACCATGCTATGATTATAGGGAAATTTCACAGAATACACATAGAAATTTGAAATAGATGGACTGGATTCAAACATGAAGAAGGGAAAAAACAGATACATGCATAGGATTTTTCCAATTCAAAATTCTGTACAAAACATGGCCACCTTTTCTGTACTTAAGGAATTATTGATATTATNTTTTCCAATTCAAAATTCTGTACAAAATCTGACAACATTTTCTGTACTTAAGAAATTATTCTTGTTTCTTCTCTCTACACTCTAGGGTTGATAGTAAGATGAAACACCAGTATTTCTTTTATTTTTCTAATGCATGGCACTTCCTGCGTTTTTACCTTCATAGACTAGTGGAATGCCTTTAGTTGGGATGATTAGTTTGCATCAAACCCACCCCTAGATTATGATTAATACTTGGATTCCACCGGTTAGCAAAAAATACTCGAAACAAAAAATGGAATAAGCACGAATTCAACATCTATCTAAATAGCTTTCAACGTCAACTCAACCACCCCAACTATCCTTGCATTTTGTTAAATGATTGTGTGCTTCAATTGTGATCTTGATTTGTTACAAATTCATAAATTGAAGATAAAAATTAACAATTAATCTTTTTTAACAATTCTAGTTCATCAATCTAATAATATATCCCCACTCTCTGTCCCTCCAATAAAAATAACAACTAATGCCTAATTTACATCTCCCCAAACAGTGAATTGGACGTCCAAAATGAAAAATGTACATTATTGTCTTATCATTTGTGTGTGGTTGTCAGTGAGAGACTACGTTCTATTTCCACAAAATCGGACTTTGAGTTACAATGGCGGACTGGTCCACGGTTGACCGACTTTTTGTGGGATATTTTTCTCATTCAGGCCCAAGTTTACAATTCAGATGTTGACCGTATAAAAATAAATACATTTCAGACTCAATCATGAGTACAGAAAATTTTGACAAACAACATATGACGAAAATTGATTGAAAGAAAAAAAAAACATTCTAATTATCTGCTACCACGTCAACGTCGATAAGAATTCTGTCAAGAATTTCGTGTACTCGTGACTTTTTCCTTTTAGACTGGTCTTGGGTTCACAATTTGTGAAACGACCTGATTGGACGTACGACCCATTGACTCTCTTTTCTTTCGGAGTCAATGTCCAAATTCAAAACATTGGTATACACAAGAACCTTTAAAAGTACCCACCATTCTGAAAAAATTACACTTTCAGGTAAAATTCTTGAATCTCCACTTTAATTGATATCATGAGTTCTCAATCATGTTCACGTGGATGGATTTGCAAAATGGTTTTCGTGGCTTTTCTCGTACTGCTTCCGACTGCAGTTTTAGGAAAATGTCCTTGTGAAGCCGACAAGGAAGATTAGGACAGAAGTTTAGCACTCAAATATAATTTAGCTATGCTTGCTTCAATCCTAGTTGCGAGTGCAATTGGGGTTTGTCTTCCCGTTTTGGGGAAGGGGAAGACAATACTAGCTTTGAGTTCAGAGAGAAGCTTTTTCTTTATTATAAAGGCATTCGCAGCCGGAGTAATTTTGTCACGGGTTTCATCCACATGCTTCCTGATGCATTTAAAAGCTTGACATCTCCGTGTATCAGTGATCACTCGTGGGAGATTTTCCATTCACAAGCTTTGTTACGATGATTTCCACCATTGGGACTCTTATGGTGGATGTTGAGACTTTGAAGGTTGCCTTTAGGTCTGATGTTAATGCAGAATTAGATTTAACACAGCAGTACAAATGTGAAATAAATCAGCAGAAATTGATGCACCACAGAAGCAATATAGCAGGAAGAACACAGAACGGAGAATAAAACCAGCAGGAAGCAACACAAATTTAGAACTCCGCAGATCAGAATCAATACAACAAGATAAACACTGAGAATGAATTTGAAACAGGAAGAAATCCTCTTCCTAACCTTTATTTACCAAGACTAAACATGATTTACAAACTAGAAATTATCAGAAAGATTTTTACCCAGATTTACAAGAGTTTACCACTCTTCCTAATCTAACTTTCTCTTAATTTTCATTCCCGAGTTCCCCCCTTTCTTCAGACCTAATATAGGTATTTATAGGTACAAAGGGGTATAAAAAATGGTTATTAACTATCTAACTAACTAAGGCTCCATATAGTTGAAGATTCCAACCAAAATCAGTTGTAAAACAACCAGAAAAGAGGCTCTAGTTCAACAGCAATTCTGATTGTTTGAGGAATCAAGAGACAGACTTTAAGGAATCATTTTCTTACAATCTCTACCTTGATTCCTTGAAGTGAATTTACAGATGCAGTTGGAACCTTCAACTTTATTTCTTTGCAAAACATAGATGCTTTGTTGTAGCACTCCTTTCATGACCACCACCCGAATTTTCCATCACTTTTAACACTCCACCTTGAGCTTTGTACATACAACCAGATTTGTCAAGTGCTCTCAATGAGATCAGATTTCTTTCCATGCCTCACTCTACCTAGGACCTTTGATGAATCATGCACAATTTCAGTTTGACAGAACCAACACCAACCACTTCTCAGGTGTTATCATTTGCCATCATCACTTTACTTTCAGCAACCGGTTTGTACTCCATGAAAAATTCCATTCTTGGCGTCATATGAAATGAACAACCTGTGTCTATAATCCACACATTGGTCTGGCTTGCACTTGTTACAGCAAGCACTTCACCAACTTCATAGCCTCCAAACGTATTTGCACACTGTCCATCTTGCTTGTTGTTTCCTTGCTTCATCCACCTCTTGTTTCTTTGTGGGCAATTCTTCTTAAAGTGCCCTTCTTGATGACAAATCCAGCACACTTTCTTTTCCTTTCTTTCTTGCACATTCAACACTTCTCCATTCATCTTGGCAAGATTTCCATTCAACTTCAACTTCAAATCCAATTCCTTTGAGTAGGCTACTACAACAACTTCTTTAAGGGTCAAGGATTCTTTTCTATATTTGATGAAGTCTCTTAGATGATCATATGCTGGGGGCAAAGAATTTAACAAGAAAATGGCTTGATCTTCTTCATCAATCTTGATTTCCAGATTCTCCAGGTCTGAAATCAGCATTGTAAACTCATCAATATTCTCATCAATTGACTTTGATTCA